AGTGCATATGTACTCACTTTATCTTTAGCATATTCTTATAATAATTCACCGACAATACCGTGAATTAATGCTAAAGATATTAATTACAATGGGCTCGAATTAATATATTTGATTTTACTTCTTTTATATTTATAAATTGAGTTATTCATATTTAGGTTCATGTTAAGTCAGTCATATTAACATGTTATAACCTTTCATGTGTCACACATCACATAACTCAATCATTTAAGCAAATAATTATCTTATTATTTAAGCTTTGGATACAATCACTACAGAGTGAGCACTCACTTCTCAAGTATTATTACACACTCTTCTCATATCTCATTACTAAATTATGATGAGCACCTACTTTTCAGTTATTAACGCTAGCTTGAAGTTAAGTTTGTTTAGCTAGCAATTCTAGTAGCTCATACCTTTAGTACACACTTATCTAAGTGGTCTATCTTGGTAGTAGAGTAATTTGTTTTGAAGAATATTCTTCAAAAACTATTACTTTACAAGTAATATTATTCTCTCCTACATGAGCAACTATGATGAATAGCTCAAATAGCTTATGGCTAAAATAGCTACTCGTCACCCTCGTGTTTTTTTTTTTTTTTTTTTTTTTTCACTACCAAGTTGAGAGCTAGAACCAACTAACAGATTTTCCATCTTCCTCTTAGGTTCTGTGCACCTCATTAATCATTTTAACTTATAGCTAATCTAACTAGTTTGCAACTTAGTAACATTTTAGCTTTCAGCTAAATTGTACATTATAGCTAACTAGCTTGATTTAGCTTGTCTCAGTGTACTTGCTTACTGTATCCATAACATTTTCCATTAAACACTTTAAAGTTGTTGAAAAATCTTATCTCAGTGTACTTGCTTACTGTATCCATAACATTTTCCATTAAACACTTTAAAGTTGTTGAAAAATCTTATCTTATTCAGCCCATTCACAGCTATACGTGTCTTTAAACACTAGTATAGATCTTTTTCCCTTGACTATCAAGAGAATTGACATAACTAGACTAGTCAATTTTTGTTTGTTGTATTAAATACACAAACCAGTCATAAACTCATACAAAATTAATAATATCAAACATTAAATCAACTATATTATAAAATTAAATTACTATGCACATTAAGTAATTCTACTACATAGTTTAATATTATAATCTCAATTAAAAGTAAGCACTTATATAAATAATATTGAACTCAGATAAATAATATTATACCATATGATTAATTATATCGCATAACTAATCTAAGAAAAAAGATTTGTGGCTCATTCTCCAATAAACATGCTAGAAAATTAGGACCAAAAGATGTAGACGTTCTAGCCTACAAGAAAATGATATGCACTGATGTTATAACCTATCAAAGGTTTTATGTAACGATCCACTCCATCACATAGTATGATATTGTCCACTTTGGGATCCAGCCCGCACGATTTTATTATTGGATTTTATCTCAAAAAGCCTCGTACCAATTGGAGATAACACCACTACATAAAATCACTTTACCTTTCCCTTACGTAGGTGGTGTGGGACTGTGCACCTGTAACTTGCTCAATGTGATAACATGTCAGTGCCTCTTGCACCCGCCCACGGCACACCCACCCACAAGGTTGCCACATTATAGGTCTCACTTTAACTTTTCATAGGAGTAAGATCTACAACCTTAAATAGACACCCCCACACTTTTAAGAATTTATAGAAAGGTTTTCAACATTTCCATAATTCATATGATGTCACATTTCTAAGGTTTCATCTTTGCTTCGTGACAAATACACATAACGGTATCTTGTGCAACCAATGATAAAAGTAACGAAGTACTTTTTTCCACCTCCAGTTGGTACATGTTTAAGGTAATGTCATATACTTCATAATATCATATTACAAAATTAAATAATTCAACCAATATTGAATAATTCAATAATCTACTTATATAACATGCTTCAATTTCACGTAATATTGAATGCATTAATATTTAACATATTATCATATAATAATGTATATAACATTATTTTATCATATCTCAACTATTAGTATAATATCTACTTATTTATATCTTAAATAGAAATATATAATAAAATCTACGCAAGGAAGGATTCTGTCTTAAGATTGTTGGTAAAATATATGCTTAATGTGACTTTTAAGATATAACAACCTTTATACTAATATGTCATGAGATAATTAACAATATGCTAATAAATCATTAATTAAATATGCAACTCTATATTTAATTAAATATACAAAATAAAGCAATAAAATAATAATAATATGCAAGGAATGAACCTGGACCGAGGCTAGTATTGGATACTATGTCCTTAAGACAGATTCGCCCCGCTATGGTGCTAACGGACTCAGTGGCGTCTATCTCCCAGGATACAACGGTCTACATCCACCAGTAGCAGCACTACAAACTCGTGGATACGGCGAACCTCCTCCGTGTAATACTCTCTCTGACTAAAAAATGCATCTATATACTATATAAATGCTGAATTGGGTGTAATCCGAACCAAATGGCTCGGACCAATCTTAATATAGCTCGATGAAATTGGATTAGGATCGAAGTGGCTCGAACCACTTAACCTAAGGTTTGAACCCACTTGGGTTGGGTTCTAGTCTAGAGAGGGAGATAGAAGAAAATGAAAATGAATGACTTGCAAATGATCTAAAGGGGGGTATTTATAGAAATAGAAATGCCTTTTCGGATGGGGTGCGTCTTTTCATCATTGGACACAACCATTGCAATAGGTTGCAATGGTTCACATGGTGTCTATTCACCATTAGACACATCCATTCCAATAGGTTGCAATGGTTCACATGGTGTCTGTTCACCAATAGACACATCCATTCCAATAAGTTACAATGTGCCTTTTCGAGTGGGTGCAACTATGGGTTATGATGGTTCGGAAAAAGGTGTAACCCTTTGGAAAAAACTAAAAGTGGTTTTTTAATTTAAAAGGTGTAACCTTTTAGAAAAAACTAAAATATGGTTTTTTAATTTAAAAGGTGTAACCTTTTAGAAAAACTAAAAAGTAGTTTTTTTAATTCAAAAAACCAACCACCCAAAAACCCTACTCATTTGTGAAACCCATTTAAATAAGCCCAGCCCAAAATTAGGCCCAATCTAAAATTCCAAAAAAAGAATAATCTGGACTTTACAATTAGGCCCAAGCCCAAGCCCAAATCTTAAACTCAGCTTATTTAAATTTCAATTTGTTTCAACATTTTTTCCATGTGGGACAAACACTTCCCACATTTTGCATACCCATTTAGGCTTATCAAAACACCACACTTTGGAGCTAATTTCTCATTCATCCGGAAACGGATTTCAGAAAGTAAATATACCACATTCATCTGCTTACGGAGAGAAACGCGCTTGTCTAGAGATCCGTAAAAAATTATTAACGGAATCTATTTCAAATCTCATCCAAAGTTTATGTTTTTAATGCCCCCGTTTCCAACATAACAAGCACCTGGTAGGCTTCACAAAAATTCAGACTTCCATCTTGAACAGCATGAATATGAGAGTTTACCATTTTCATGAGCATTCTCGGAGGTTATGCCACGCATATACAGTAGACTTCTCTACACAATTGCAGATCTTTTCAGAATTCTCTAGAAACGTGTAGAGACGTCTAGACTTTTCTATAGTAGTATAAAGTAGCCTAGAATTCTCTGATAATTGTCTTGTGTAGTATGGAAGTATATAGAGTTTTATAGTAGCCTATAATTCTCTGATAATTGTCTTGTGTAGTATGGAAGTATATAGAGTTTTCTAGCACTGTAGGAGCATTCTATGGAAGAGAACCATCCACAATTAGACCATTGCACTTGTACATATCTAGAACATTCTTCGTAAGGCGCTTGGCCTATATAAGGAGGTGAGAGCTCATTTGCTTCTTACCAAGCTACCAAGCAACCGAGTTTAAAATTCTATGGTGCAATACAAACCTTACATTCACACAACCTCTCTCTATTGCCCAATTGTTATCTTTCTACATATACTAGTAAGAATTAGAATATCAAGTGCTTGAACATGTGTAACAATATGGTTAAAAGTATCAAAGTTTTTTTGTGAAAGGTAGAACAAAGGGAACAATGAAATTTAGTGATTTTATATAAATTTTCAGTATAAAACTTTTTTTTTTGTGAAGTTTACAACGGCTTGTGTTGTAACTTGTTGACCAATTATCAGATATGTTTGGTTTTAATAAAGACATTTTGTTGATGAGGATGTGTCAGTAGTTGCGGCCATATCAGATTATTAGCTCTTGTTTTATAAATTTTGTCAATCTAATTCAGGTTAGGGAATTGAATTACTCTTCTAATTTGCAAATATGAAACACTTTGGAAGGTTTACTTGCTTTTAACTTCTATTAAATTACTTTGTATGGACAATTGATTCAGAAATTTGCGTTTGACTTCTATTAATTTACCTTGATAGACAAATGGTTCAGAACTTTGCTATTAAATTCCATTTTCATGAGCACTCTCGGAGGTTATGCCACGCATATACATTAGACTTCTCTACACAATTGCAGATCTTTCCAGAATTCTCTAGAAATGTGTAGAGACGTCTAGACTTGTCTATAGTAGTATAGAGTAGCCTAGAATTCTCTGATAATTGTCGTGTAGTATGGAAGTATATAGAGTTTTCTAGCATTGTAGGAGCATTCTATGGAAGAGAACCATCCACAATTAGACCATTGACACTTGTACATATCTAGAACATTCTTTGTTAGGTGCTTGGCCTATATAAGGAGGTGAGAGCTCATTTGCTTCTTACCAAGCTATCAGGCAACCAAGTTTAAAATTCTATGGTGCAATAAAAACCTTACATTCACACCACCTCTCTCTATTGCCCAATTGTTATCTTTCTACATATACTAGTAAGAATTAGAATGTCAAGTACTTGAACATGTGTAACAATATGGTTAAAACGGCTTACATTTTGAACTTTCGAAAGTAAAAGAAATATTTCAAAAAATACTAGTCATTCCGATCGGGTAAATGAAAAAATACTAGTGCTAACAATTTTTATTTACGTTGAATACATATATATCCTACTATGAGTTGATCACTAATCACAAAGTTATACCATGAGCTATTAGATAAAATCTTCCACTGAGATACATCAATATAATTTCAATCAAGTACATGTAAGTTATCACTACAACTTATGAAATGCAGCTTATGAAATAAAATGATGATTTATTCTTCTGTAAAGTTGGTATTGTGAAGGTAAACTCGTAACTATCTAAGCATATTATGGAACTATGGTGAGTAGCTATTACTCCAATTTCAGAACTTCTTCCAATGAGACTTCTGCGGTTTGTTCTGTCACAGAAGATGACTGGCCCGAAAGAAGGCTAACTGAAGCTTCATCGTTGACTTCTTGATGCTGTTCTGAAAGAATTGGATCGCCTTCAGGATCAGTATCAGATGGCCCAGCGGGTTGTTCTGTATTGAAGTGTATCCATTTCCTATCCTTTGCATGAACTACAGTAGGGTACAAGAAAACCCCGAGAATAATGACAGCCCCGCTAACTAAGTATGTCTGTAAAGATGCCAAACACATCACAAGAATAAGCAGTAAAGCAGGAGGTAGGCAAAGCATTGTTGCGCCAAAGGTTTGTAATGGGACTTTGTACGGTCTATGAAGATCTGGCTTCTTTATTCTTAGTTTTACAAAAGCTGCAAACTCAAGGAGCATTCCTATGGAATAAAGGAAGTTGAGAAATTCCAAGATCTCCTGAAAACTCATCCATGACAAAAATATAACACCAGTTGCGGAGAACAAGATGCTAATGGTGGGCGTCCCATACTTCGATCTAGAAGAATCATCAACAATAAGTCACATAATTACTTTAAACAACCTAAGGTGAAAATTTATTTTGTCTCGAATTATAATTGAAAGCAAAAAAATTGGAAGAGAGATTCAAATCAGGTTTTCATGGCAAAGCACATTAGTGTCTAAAAATATCTAACTAAAATAATTGTTGTGTTCAAATGATTCCTGAAGTAAGCATGGATCGTGTGATATTTAAGAGAGTGCCGGAAGGAGTTGGCAGACTAAATAATGAAGTAGAGTAATTTGTTGAGATTACATGCCCAAGCACATATTGTTATAAAGCACTATAATTTGATACCTAGTTCATCTATAACATCTCGGTTTCAAAGCATAGGACTTTAATGGTGGATGTATCTGCTTGTATCTCAATGTTTATCTTACAACAACAGTGACGGACATTGAACTTTTCATTCCATACACGTTGCAAAATCATGGTCCAACAGATGAAGTCTGGAGCATGAAAAGAAGAAAACTTCTATTCACATAACCTCAGCAAATTTCTATCCTATATGTTTACATAATATTCTACTCATGCCTATTTGAAATACAAACAAAACTCAACTCAACAAGCCTTTTCGCAGCATGTTTATTCAAAAAAGCTCTAGAAAATTTCCATGATAAATGATACTTAAAAGAAGATCTATTTCAGTATCCATTAAAATTTTGAAATTGCTTTAGTAATTTCCCACACACAGTTAAAAGATTTATTCAGGAAAAAAAATAGTTAAAAGATTTAATTCAATATCAAAAACCCCTTTTCATTATTGAAACAGTTGAAATAGTTGAAACTAACACAACCTCACTGGCTTTACTCACTTTCCATCTAGGCATTGGTGAAGATTCTCTCCTTTTTCTTCTTTTTGGTTAGGTAAACAACTCAGACGCACGCACAATTTGACCCGCCTAAGGCTCAAACCCTCTCCTCCCCAAAGGAAAGGAGAGGCTATAACACCTAGCCCAATGACTTGAAGTTGCTAACAAGCATAACTTGTTCATAATATTTAAAGAAAACATGTAATAATTATCAATATGATCAATTACTAAGAAACTGAAAATGGCTGAGCTTCAGGACAAAAAAAGAAAAAGAAAAAGAAAAAAAGAAAAGAATAGAAAATGACTGACCTTGAAGCAAATATAGCCGGAAGCATTCCCATTTCACTCATCCCAAGAAGTTGAAAGGCATCACCACTCATTTCTGCTTCAAACAACCCCAGGTTAGACATTGCAGCAGCAGCCTGGATCCACCACTTGAGCCAAAACCCTCCTATCAGCATACCAACCTCCGCAAAATAGCCATCACTCCACTCACTAGGATCAGACTTTAAAGCTCCTGTTCCCGCAAGAAGTGGAATCAAATACGAAGAAACTACCACAACCACAGCCCCAAGCAATGCCTTAGGGAATGTCCTACTCGGGTTTTCAATCTCCCCTGCAAGTGTACTTGCCTTATCCCAATAATTCAGATTCCAAAACATGCTATTGAAGTACCCCCTCCAATTCACCTTCCTAAAATCCACAACTAGCCACCGTTGAGGCCTAATTCGAGGAATTGAAAGAAGAGCCATTACAACAAATGGGCAGAGCGAGAAAACTGCAAGCAAGACTGCAGAAAACCCAACAATGTGCAGACCTCGATAATTCAAATATGTTAACGAAACTGTGATTCCTAGAAGAGCAGGAATTCGAGCAACTAATCGATTAAAGATTGGGAATGAATGCTTTAAGTAGTCAAGGAACAATACCGGGTAAAGGGCATTGTCCATAACCCCACTAAACCATTTCCAGAACCCTTCTTGGAAACCCCAGAAAGGCCCAAAAGCTGATGATATCCAAATGACATAGCCACCGTTTTCGGGGAAGCTCGTGGCGAGTTCAGCTGTGATTAGAGCTTCTGGGATGCTCCAAAACAAAGGGAAGATCAAGAAACCAAGCAAAGACAAGAGAGGGCCACCTCCAGCCCTAACTGAATCTTCTACACCAAATGGACCCCCAGACACCTCATAGAAGATCAGAGCAATGAGTGGCAAAACAGTTAGCTTAGGGTTTGACTTTGTTGCATCATTCTTTACCTTACTTACCATTCCCTCTTCAGTTTCACCCATCAACAAACAGGTGAAAGAGAGATTGAAACTTGCCCACAATCACAGTTCTATGTCCTTATTCATATGGGTTTTGCCTAAAAATCAAGCAACAATTTGTTATGATGACAGAAATCAGATGTTCAAACTCTAATTCTCGGAATAATTTGAAAACCCAAAAAGCAAATTGAGCAAACAAATAAGTAGAGTGAAAAAAGCTACACAACTCACAAACTAAAATTCGAAAAGAAATGGGGAATTTAATGGTGTGATTCTGAGTAGTAGTGATAATGCTCGTGATGTTGACGAAAAACGAAAACCCATCAAGCGAATTGAATTGCAGATGAAGATAGAGATATTGACCTGATTCGAATAGGTTGATGTGGGATTGGCTTTTAAGTTCAACCCACAAGTGTTTTTTTTGTTTTTTTCTCAATCGATGCTTTCTCTGATTTCCATTTTCATTGTGATTTTCTTCTTCTAAGCTTTATTTGATGCTAACTGTGTTCCACACACGACACGGCAACGAGGACTTACTTTTCAAACATCCTTGTAAAGTCAATGTGCAAGTGCGATTTATGTTGCGGATGACCACTTTAACACGTTTTTAAGAATCTACTGGGATATCCAGCGATTTATTCACTTAGATTTTAAATCTTAGCAAGCTCGAGATGTGATATTTGACTTACTCGGCCGGCCTGGGTGAAAAGTTATTCTTCCAATTTCTCGAAAATCAATTGGATTGTTAAGAAGGCCACTCCAAACACCTGAGTTAACTAAAAAAATGTTTCTAAGAATTTAATTTTTAATTATTTTTTTTATTGATTATAGCACTTTGATCTAAGTGGCATTATTTTTTTTCTTCCAAATAAGTGACTAAAATAATTTGGATAACAAAACTTGCAATTAATGCCATACATTTATACATACAGAATTAAGTACACATTGATTACATTCAATATTTATAAGTCACATTCAATTTGGTAGTCTTTTAATAAGAAAATCCAAGCACTTATTATTAGTGGGGGTCTCTTTTATTAGTCACTACACTCACTACTAATATTTTGTTTTTTTAAATGAATTTATTGAGTGAGTTGGTTAGCTCATTCAAATTAAATTGTCGGAATAAGAATAATTCATTTTGGATATTATGCACGGGAATTAAAATGAATTTAGCACATATGATTTTAATTTTTTAAAAAATTAAAATAAATATTGGATGACAATTTCCTAAATTTTGCTTTGCATAAAGTTGGTTTGGATGTAATTTCTGATTCTAATCAATAAATATGTTTTTCTTACTTGCGAAAAAATATATATATGATTTTAATTTATTAAAATTATTATACATAATATATACACACATACATGTTAACAAAACCGAAGCTATGAAATGGTAACAAAGAACTAGGAGTAACTTTGATGGAAGATTCCACAAATTTGAAGATAAATTACAGAAAATTATGATATATTATTAATAAATTGAATGCTATGCAGGAATCATTTAAAAAATAAAAATAAAAAACAAAAACTAGCATTATAAAGAAATTGTTCAAAATTAAACTTTCTTAAATTTTTTTGTAAAAATAAGATCAGAAACCTAATTACTAAAAACTACTAAATATCAAAAATCAAAATAATTTGAATCCGTTTAAACTTCTAACAAAAATTCTAAAATATTTAAAGTTAGAAAAAAAACAATTATATACCCTAAACATAGAATTTGGTCGAAAAGCACCTTACACAGCAACGAGTTTGGCCATTTTCCAATCAAACTATGATATTGTTGAGTCAAAATGACTTGTTGAAACTATTCCGAAAGACCATGTCTGCCTGTCCATTTGACCTTTTGGCGGTTCAAACAAACTTCAAAATCATCGACAAATTACTCTAAATTACATAAATAGAGATAATGCAACACAATATTAAATAACACACTTCAAGACTAAAAAGAGTCATGTTATCATTAGAGCAGGGATTTGGACGGTTGTGAGGTACTGGTGCACGGGGCACAAGTATATATTCTCCTATTAGAAGAGCTCCTCATTTTTGAGCTTTCCAAATGAAATATTTATTAAATGAGGAGCTCTCTTTGTTTAATTACTGAAATAAATTTTTATTAAATGATTCATTTGACTTTTTACCAATTTCAAAAATAATTCTAAATGATTAAATAAAAAGAACTTATGAGAGTGAACTCTCTAAAAAGCATTACTGAACCGAAAAATACCTACCATGAGAGAAAAAAATAAAATACTATATGGAAACACGCTAAATTTCTGATGCCCTTTGTGGGTCTCTTACACAAGGCTATTTATTTATTTATTTTTTTTTTTTGGTGGAGTGTAAACACACTTGGGAACTAAAAAACACTAACATAAACCAAATTAAAATTAGAAAAGTAATTTTTAAAAAATACGGTAGTTTTTATTAAATCTAGTGAATGGAATAGATTCTCAAAATGATGGATGTTTTTTATTTTTACTATATGTATAGTCTTCCTTCACATGAATTGTGTGGTGAGTAATTTGTAAAATCTGTCGCTCAATATCAAAAGATAATTAATATTTTTATCATTTAAAGTTTTTACTTTATTTTAAATCGCACTTAATAGGTTAATGTCTTAATCCGTTCCGTTCAGAACTAAGCGCTAAGAAAAATCAACTAGTTACCGAAATATTTCGTTATTTTTTTTTTTCTTTCTATCTAGTTGACGCTAACCAAACTAACCCTTAAAGAAATGAAATTTAGATGAATTGACTACTGAGGGGAATTAAAATGAAAATTTTTAAAATAAAAATATAATATATATGATTAAAATTTATAAAAATTGATACACCGTAGGAACACAGAAGGTTCTCAACAGTGAAGGGAACGGACCCCCGAAAATAGTCGCTATTGGATTCGCGTAATACCTTTTACTCCGCAGAACATTCTCTCGTCTCTCCATGTCTGAAAATCCATTGCAGGCTCTCTTTCAAACGTTCGAAAAAGTCTCACGCTGTGTTCAAACCCATTTATCCCAATTCATTGGCCTCTCCAATCTCCCATCACCCACAAATGGACAGCCTCTCTTTTCTCTCTCCTCGTCTGCAAACCCATCACGCTCAAACACTAACTCTGTTCTTCTCCAACCCAAAGACAGTCTCAGTGAGGTACTCAATTCTCTTTTCATTCCATACAGTTACGCGCGAAAAGTTAATTACTTTGAACTTCAAATTGGAACGTCCTTGTTACTTGGTTTTGTCTAATGGTGCTGTGCTATTGCTCAGTAACTGCTCGATAAATGTCCTGAATGGAGAGTCTAACATGATTTTGTTGTGATAGTGGATAGAGTCTTTCTATTTGAAATCCCACATGGGTGTTTAATAGTTTTGTTTGATTGAATTTTAATTGTGTAAGATAGTATCATTTCCCTTTTCTGTGTACTGTAGAATGGTGTAAGCTCTTCTTGGTTCAACTTTGCATTCCTTTTTTTTGGGTATAAATAGGTCAATTTGTTATTGAATGGGCCCTTGTTTTTCCTAATAAGAAGCAATGATGTGTGTAGTCAATGATTTGCGTAATGTTTTCACTCTAAGGTATGTGCACTTTCATTGTCAATGTCAAGCCAATTCACAATCACCTGTTACACTAATCCACCATGAAATATGAGAGTTGACAGTTGACAGTTGACGGCTTGAATTCTGTAACTAAGACTACATTTGTTTGATGGGAATTCAAATATTGTAAAAGAAGCATGGCTGTGCGATTCGTTGTGACTGCATTCACTTACAATGTTTTTCTAGAATATAATTGTCATGCAAGACGAAATAAAGATAAAAAAACCAGCTTATTTCCTGGAGAGGAGTCTCCCAAAAAAAGCCATTGGAACACATTTCTCCATTCTAAGAATTTTTCTTTTTGTTACCCACGCGTTGCTGATCTTCTTGTCCTGAAAAAGCAGTAGTGAACCAATGGGTTCCTGGTAAAATAGGTAAATAAGAAAATTCACAATTGGGGATATGATATAAGAATCTAGAGTCCTTCTGAGAGTAACTTCGCCACTACCAATATTTTGTGCACGGGATTGCTGACTCAATTCGAGTTCCTACTTCAATTTCTTTTTATATCAACTTAATGATTATATTGTCAATTTGTCATAGAAAATTGGTGTGAGAAATATTATGTTTGCTACTTCTTATTGATTGTCCTTTCTCCAGGGGAAATCAACTTCACCGGTTACTAAAGAACAGCTTGGAAGGGCAACATGGACTTTCCTTCACACTCTTGCTGCTCAGGTCCTCTCATACTCATTGTTTTCTTTGCTTTTTTGACATTATGATTATCTGATTTAGTTTTTGTTTGCAATGGCTATTTTTATTTTCTTAAAAATAATGCTATTGCTTCCCACAACACCCCCCACCCCCCCAAGCTAATGAATAATAATGCTCTTGTTCAAGTAGGCATCTTAAATTAAATGATATTTATAGTTATCTTTTAGCCTTTTAGGTCAGATAAAGAAGGAAATTGTGTAATCTGAATTATCATGCATTATTAAGTGCAAAAATGCATTACCCAGAATATGTCCCAGCTACATGGGCTTCTGGGAGGGGAAGATTACCTTTGTTATTATTTGCACAAGTAGTAAAATATGAGACTTGAATTATCATCCTCACACTTTTTCTTTCGTTTTTTTTCTTTTTTTTTTTTTTCTTTTTTTTACCACAGCACCAAGCAGTGACCCTTAGTTGTCATGCTTGATTCTCACACAATATTCATAAAAAAGTTGGTTTTCCTCTTGCAAAACAGTAGGCATTGTCAAATACCACTGATGCAAGATGCTTTGGATTTCCAGCAACTCAATGAAAAATTATTGTCAGGGTTTGTCGAGAATTGGTTAAAGTGATTTAGGAATCAAACTAGGATTATTTAATGATTTAAAGATTGATTTTTGTAAGATAGTATGCTGCATTATTATAAAGAAATTTGATAAGATTAGAAGAAGATAGATAAGAAGTGCAATTAAAAGAGGAAAAAAGATGAGATAAAGAAGAAAGACAAAGCAATCAAAATCTTTTTAAAAGTGATTTAGTGGTGGACTTGTGAAGCTTAATTCAATATGCACTTACTCCAAAAGAGAGATCATTATAAGTGCTTTTATACACCATAAAACCCTCATTTTAATAAACTACAGAGTACAACCCTTAAATCAAACAAGTATCAATCCGTAAGTATAAAGTACAATGAATAGTGACACATTACATGACATGAATAGGGTAGCTCGTTATAATAATGTTGGAGCCTTATTGTTGGTTTGTTTGGCATCCATTGGGTTATGCCTCCATCTGCAAGGGGTTTGATCGACGCTTGGGAGGCTGTTCAGTGGGAGCCCATGCTCTGTGATTTTTGGAGGGCGGCCCCCTTTTGTGTTTGGTGGTGCATTTGAAGGAGCGGAATAGTAGATCTTTTGACGGGGAGGAATTTTTCATTGGGGCTTTGAATTTTCTTATTATTAGTTCTCCTTTTAGTTGGGTGATGGGGAGAAATTGTAAATCTATAAAGGAGATTGTTGATCTTTTGGGCTCCTTGGGTCCTTAGGACCTCTTTTTTGGCTTCGGCCCTTGTATAGTTTCCGGGATGGGTTCCCCTTTTGAGTGCTTTCTAATACATTCTTACAAATCAAAAAAAAAAAACAAAAAAAAACAAACATGTTTTGGAATTAGAAGAACCTATCAACCAAGAACCACCAGAAACACACTTGTCTGGACGTAAAGGCCTCTTAATTACCCATGTTCACAGCCCTTGTTTTGGGCTTCCAGAGCTTATATTTTTTGTCCTGTCAGTTAATAGATACTTTGATTGCCCTTGGTTTAAAAGAACTTGACTTCAACGTGTCTTATATGTTACAACGAGTTTTCCCCTTGTACTAGCAATGTTTTAAACTAGGATTTTTTGCTTTGGCACTGTCAGGATTATATTTCCATATGATATTTACTTGAAGAGAAAAGAAAAGGGACAAAAAAGGTGAAAGAGAAAGTGCATTACCCAGTGTCTGCCCCCACATATGGTGCTAGGAGAAGACAAATATATATATATATTTAGAATTTTTATGTTAGAAATATAATCTTGATTGATTTTATATTCGTTAGTGAGCATATGGTGAGTTAAAATTGTAACTTCAATCACCTTCATGCAATTGATTTCCAATGTTTTATCTATGTTATGTGACATGTTCTTGACATTTAAAATATATTGAAATTTTCAAATGGCTCTCGATCTTTGCAGTATCCAGATAATCCAACTAGACAACAAAAGAAGGATGTAAAAGAGCTGGTACGATACTTCTTCACCCTCCATGTGTGCATGTTTTATTGTACTTTAGATGGTTTTTTTAGCTTGATATTTTAAAACCACATTTTCATTTTTTTCAACACATGTTACCAAAAATTGTTCTGTTGTGGTAAACTGTGGTAAGATGCACTGAACAAACATTTGCTGAAATGACGATTTTACAATTTTTATCATTTAATGATCTCAAATTTAGATTAAATCTAGGATTACTCTCTTTTGGGTGAACATGTCATAGCTATGTGATGAGTAAACTGAGCATACATGTAATTAAGACACGACGTGACTTGAGAAGGATTCAATTGGGCTGACTTGAATGTCCAAAAGGACAGGGGATGGACAACCCAGGTTCTGGATAGAGTGGTGGAAATATTTTTCAGAAGAACTAATATTATTAAGTAAAATTTTTAGTAAATTCGTGAAACAGTTAATGCTGAATCTAATTAGTTGGAAAAATACCAGCATTAGTTGTGATGATAATGAGGAGACATTTAAGAGGATTATAGTTACGATCTTTAGGCATACATGGCTTGCTTAAGACTGGTGTGTGCTGAAGAGTACGGCTGCAGCATCTGCAGTTTCTGCTAGGTGAGGTCCAAACCAAGTCCAATTTTAGGAGTAGAATAGGCTGTCATTCATCAGACCGAACTCAACATAAGCAAGCCCTAAATTCAATTTCCATATTTTCTGGTTTTGTTCTACGTCAACCAAAATATTCTCCTCTTCTTGGGGCAAACTTCATCTGGTTTTGGCTATTTTGCTTGAATGTGTTATTTTATCCTTATTTCCCCAAATTTTACTCTTCGATTCCATATAGGGTAGTAAACAGGTGGATGAATATCCAAATTCAACCAAATTAAGATCCTATGACGAAATTGAATCAGGTTAATTAGTTCTTTGAATTCTGATTGGACATGAGTTTAGTTACTGCAATATAATTAGGATCCAAAATTGATTAGACTTACTATATGGTAATTTTATAATTGATTAGACTTACTATATGTTATCAATATAATTGAATATACATTATTTCTATCCTTGATAGAAACAATGTAATAGTGTAGTACAAGGTATAGTGAGTACCACGATCAATTAGAAGATGATAGATGAATAAAGTGACAATCAATTTCAATGTGTTTGGTGCGCTCATGAAGTACGTCATTATATGCAATCTAAATTGCACTCCTATTATCGAGAGAGTTTTTAAGGTGTCTCCTCTCATACAAGTTCATTGAGAGCTTGATCAAGTGAGAGCAAAGGAGACTGATGAAGAAGCTGATTGCGCACAAGCTCAAAATCTGCATAAAGACCTATCACAAACTGGTGAGGTCGAAGTTGATTACGATATGGAAAAAAATAAAATAAAATAAAATATTGGCCTCAGAAGGATGTTCCCATGGTGGTTCTAAAAGAGCTAGCTTATCCCAGAGAAATTTTATACGAGCAAAGAACTCATTAATACGCTAACCGGATTCTTGCTTGAGATTGTAGAATTGGACTATAAGCTAGTCTTGTCGAGAACCATTGGAGCCAGAGTATCGAAAAGCAAGCATTACCCAGACTTCCTTGGTAGTGTCATAACTCATAAGTCAGAACTCCCAAATTCCATGCCAATTGATGGATTTGTTGTGTTGTATAACCAGGAGATTATTTTGTGGTTGTTCCTATCCCAATCCTCGACACGTGAAATATAGGCATCTGCAGTTTCATCCTTGTAATGAACTGGTGTGTGGCGAAGACCATGGTGTGACCCTTGAGGAAGCTACGCATTGATTGGCTCCAAAAAGAGTAGGTGTCCCATTAAGAACACCTTGAATAGGATGAGTGACCTTGTTTTGTGTCATTTGGAGATGCCAAATGCAAAAATGGTCTAAAAATTTGAATTATGTGCAAAAAATTGAGTGGGAAACACCTGGTAAACTATTTGACGTGGTAGGTAGGATGCTGATGTGTCAGATGGTAGTATGCTGGTGTGGCAGATGACGTAGCACTATGCTAACGTGTCAAAAAAGTCGTGCTTCTGGCTGATGTGTCAGAAAAGTTGGACTTCTGGCTCATGTGGCAAAGTACTGACATGGCAGTAGGTTGATATGTCTACTGACGTCGTGACAAATCAGACTGTATAGCTGACGTGTAGACCAGAGGGTCCGATGCGTGATTGCGCGTGGGGGCGTGACAGAGACTGGTGGCGCATGTAGCCACATTGGTGCATGGGCAAACTAGTAGAACCTTCCGGCGGTGTGTGAGGGCTCCTGAAAGGGCTTTTTGGGGTGTTTCTTGCCGGGTTTTGACGATCGACTTCAGTTCTTTCAAGTGATATGGTCTGAAACTCGAAAGGATGGAAGACCTAATTCTGAAAAGGGTCAGTGCTTGAACGGCAATGAGACGCCGCTAGGGAGTGTCACTGCTTGTGGCACCGAATGGCTAGAAAAGGACCCCGAAAGGAAAAGAGAACGAAAAGGTTTTAAAACCCTAGTTCTGATACCATGATGGAAATAATGTATATTCAATTGTATTGAGAACATTACATAAAAGGCCTAGTTATAGGCATGAACTCATAGGTGGTAGGTAAGGTAGTACAGTAGTAGAATACAATACAATAGTGTTGTGCAAGGTACATTGAGTATAAGATGTATAATCTAACATTTTGTCTGCAATCTATGAGAAAGAATTTACAATTTGAATAGAAGTAAATTAAGTTATAAAATTTAATATCTTTTTTAAATTCAATTTGAACACTTGAATTCCCAATTCAACTCAAACTCAAAAGAAGTTGTTTAAGAGTCCTGACAGTCAGATTTGAATTAGAACTTAATTTCAGTATCTCTATGGATGCAAGTTCAGATTTCATGATATAAGCACCAGATTCATCCTGTTTAAATAGGGTGGGAACTTGTCCTGTGTGACCCAATTCTGATCCTGTTTTTGGGCTGGCTTGAGAGTTTTTTTGTTGTTGTTCTGATTGGGCTTGAGTTGAAATTCTTTAACCTCTATTCAGGTTGGGTTTGGGTAGAGGAACCCAGGCCTGACCTTTATTATCAATACTATTATTACATATAGTTTCTTAAATATTTAGTTGTATTTAGATTGTTGGAATGTTTGTAGTAATGTTTTCAGCTTGGTGTATTAGCCATGATTTTTTAAAAGTTTAATTTATTTTTTATTTTTTAGTGCAACCGGACCAATCAGAGCTTTACCCGACTCAAAAGGAAAAGGTGCCAGGTCAAGCTTAGGTTAGCCTATTTGGGTTGGTGGTAGGGTTGGGTTCAGTCTTAGGTTGAGAATTGTATTCCTTGGTTTGCTCTAAGGATGACCCCTCAACTCACCGACTCATTTGATTTGCACCTATACGTTTCAAGTCGTAATTATTCTTTTTGTTTTGAATCCTGTTTGAACATTGCTTTTATTCATTTGAAGGAAATAAATGAATTTAAATAAAAGCTTTCATTGTGTGTGCGTGTGTTTCAAAGAGAGAACATTTTGTACTTACTGGCTATTAAAGCCATTGACATATTCTTAGCATGCAGATGTCAATATTATCTCGGATGTACCCGTGCAAGGAATGTGCTGATCACTTTAAAGAAGTTCTAAGGTATATAATATACTTCATTCCCTATGAATTCTTATTGTTTTTAGTTGTTGGTCTAAATTTTTTAGATTTGAAATTTCATGTTTATCTAAATCGGAACAATTAGTATGCTTTCATGTTGAGTATATTGTATTTTTCTTTCTTGCAAGCCTCTCTAGTTTGGGTGCTATATCAGAAAACTGTTATTGCTTAGCAATAGGATTTTTTTATTGTCTACTATCTAATGGCAGCTTGGATTTTGTGTTCACGTCAACAATACTTTTCTCCTGCCTTTTTCTGATAGGTGATAGGATTTGAACCCTGATGTTGTTGTCCATATTTATCCTAAATTACCAATATGCCAAGACATAAAGGGCTAGCCCAATGCACGAGGCTCCCATCATTGCGGGGTCTAGGAAAATGATGTCTTGGCATGCGGAGAGGCTGTTTCCATGATTCAAACCCGTGACCTCCAGGTCACAATGGAGCAACCTTACCATTGCACCAAGACCCACCCTCACTATGCCAAGACATCAGTCCAAATCCAAACATCCATTTTGACTAGGCTGTGCTTTGCATTTGAGCAAAATAAGAGGCCAATGGTGGTTTAAATGGCTCATGGAAAGGAATCCATTCTCTCCCTTGAAACAACAATTGTTCTTTTCGAATGGAATTATTCCAAAATGTAAGTGAAACTGGCGCAAAAGGACTGGAGTTGATGCCAGAAGTGATTAAGGATGACGTAGACTGGCATTGCTTCTCTTTATTTTTATGCAATATCTAATACATTTTGCTTTTTCCTTATATGGCCTTTTCACATCTCTGTAGCATGTGTAGGATCATTTTAGAATTTTAAGAAAAAAGTAGTCATTTCAGATCTTCTCATCATTTTAACTGCTCTCCGTTTTATTTGAAATGCTTCAGTGTAGGATATTTTGTGCCTTCAAAATTCCAACAAGAATGGCTGAATCATGCTATATTTAATTGGTTTCCAAATGTTTGAATTGATAAAACTTCTGCAAGTGACAGTACTTTTGTGTATATGTTTGACAGATCAAATCCTGTACAGGCTGGATCTCAGGCTGAGTTTTCCCAATGGTTATGTCATGTACACAATGTTGTTAACAGAAGGTAACATATGTTGTTCTCAAATAAAATCTACCAGTATCTTATCAATGTTTTGAACATACAAATTGAAAAGATATAATTTGATTGATAAAGAATGGTGAATCATTAATACACTTTAGCTCTTGCATGGTAATAAGACCAGTTAACTGGACAAATTCAAACTGTTAAGTAAGTGGATGCCTTTTAGAGGTTGCATGCTTTGGACTAGGTTGTGCCGGATTGCACATGACCGACTAGTAGGAGTCTGGCAAAACCATGGGGCTTGTTCTCTGTTTAACCACTTAAATTTGCGTAGTTGTTCTGGATCTCAAGGGCCAAGCTGAGCCAGGGTGATAATTTCAATAAAATTAGTCTCTTCAAATCAGGAAGCTTGTGAAGTTTTGTTAATGTTGATTTCTGGTTTGCTCTTGTTTCAACAGCCTCGGTAAGCTGGTATTTCACTGTGAGCGAGTTGATGCACGGTGGGGCAAGTTGGAGTGTGAACAGCGCGCTTGTGATCTACAAGGAACTACAACAAATTTTGGCAATGATATACATTAACTGAGAGAACTCATTAATGTGATTTACAGGAAATTAACAAATGATGGAGTTTGTGTTATTATGATGTTATTGTCCATGGGAACCTCATTTTTTTTTAATCAGAAAATAGAATTTGCTGTTTCTTATCCTGGGAAGTACGAGCTAGGTTGTCTATTTGGCTGTTGCCTTTTAAGTTCATATGCTATTGCTTCATTCTTTGTCTAGATCATGTAATTTTCTTTTTCTTTTGCTTCCTTGGGACTGTATAGAACCTTTGTTTTTTTTCCTCTCCTGGGCACACCTGGGTGCTTTACCGATTAGGCCAGTGGGTGATGCCCGGCCTGTATTGAACCTTGGTGTTGTGTTTAGATTGAAACAAGCCGAGTATTGAATCTTGTATTCTATCTTCTTGTGGTGGTTACTAAAATTCTACACAGGTCCTTTCAAGTTTAGAAATATTGTCAACTAGGTAAAGGTTATTCATGTAGGTTATTTACAAGTGCTCATGATGAAGTTTTAGCACAACCAAAGAATGGTTTCTATATTGAATGTGTACACTAAATCAGAAACAAAAACAGAGGCTAGATAAAATCTTGAATAAACCTTCACAGTATACAAAATAGAAAACAGAACCTAAGCTGAATCAAGTGGTTGGCATCTTGAAACGGCAAAGCGGACAAGAGTGGTTGGTCTTAAGCCACCTAGTAATGCAATCTCCATGATAGACGTGAGAGCAGGGCATGCGAGTGATGGATCCTTCATCACAGAATTTCTCGAGACAAATGGTGCAAGAGCGATAAAATGTCATCTTCCCCAAGGCGTCGATGGATGATTGACTTGCGGGTACAAGCTTCAACGCGACGTACTCGTCCATGGACTCCTGTATAGCCCGAGCCATTGATCCATTCAAACCCCGAGTACTAGTCATGGACGCTTGTAGAATCCGAACCAGTGGCCAATCATCATTATGATCAATTTCATCAAAATCGGACTCACCCTCGCCGTCAACAACCATAGGATCCTCCTCATCAGAGGATGTGTTGATTAGTATTTTAATAATAACTACGGGTGTGGCATTGTCTGGAATATCACTTCTATGGTGGTGGAAGGCGCGCGATAAAGAGAGAGCATCGTGATACATCCGGTCATCACCGGTAACTCCCATGCGGAACACGAAGAAATTGAAAAATCTGCGCGACAAGTCATCGGATTCCATGACACACGACGGCATAGGGTACACACGTATTGTGGTAGTGCGATTGACTTCCACCATATCACTGTTGTATCTATAGTTATGTCGATCTACTCTCAAGCAAAACCGTATCAGATGCTTCATATGGAATTTGCAATTCTGTGTAAAAAGATCGCCCTATGGACCATTGTTGCCTTCTTCTGTTCACCATCTTCAACCACGACCACAAGTGAACCGAACCGGAAAGAGAGAACCGAATCTTGGGATCGATAAATTGTGACTTCACAAAAATTCAGATAGCAAGAGAACCGATACTTCTGGTAAGAGAACCGGGAAGGGGTTAGGGTTTGTTTCTATAAACGAATTCTTCCTTTCCTTCAACGAATACCTAATTTCACAAGGAAAGTACTATTTCTAGGGCAACAAGGGGGAATACAAAGGGAAAAGGAGAGACAAGCCAAGGCAACGCGGCGATCGGCGATAACAGAAGAAAGCCTCATCCTTTAAAATTAGATTAGGGTTTTGGATCTTAGGGATCGATAAATTGTGACTTCCCAAAAATTCAGATAGCAAGAGAACCGCGAAGGGGTATACTACAAAAATGTCCATGTATAAGTATAAAATTACTCTATATTATTAATTTGATATAAATAAATTCTGAAAATTTAAAATGACGATAATACTTTATTTCAATTAAATAAATTAAAAATTATATATAAAATCAAATCATATAAAATGATGATAATACCTCAACAACTTCTTTCCCTTGCGGATGCTATTTTTAGATCTATTTTTAGAGGCACCTATTGGCTCAACTTCTTTCCCTTGCGGATGCTCTATTTTTAGAGGCACCTATTGGCTTTTCGCCCACATAAAGCTCCAGGTCCTTAGATAAGGTTTGATTGCAAGCAAGCTTAATAATTACTAGTAGTATTTATTAGTAAGATGTAAGGTTCATTACCACAGGAACTTTCTATTTTGTCTGTTGCGAAAGTTTGGTTTTGGTGAGGTTTGGAGTGTTTTGTGTGGATATATAATTATATATGTATATATATAATTAGTATGTATATATATTATATTTATACCATTCATCTACTTATCAGCTTTTATTATATATATATATTTTTTATTATACTTATCAATTTTATTATATTATCAGTTTATTATATTATATATATATATTTTTTATATTATCAGTTTTATTATATTTTTTATATATTATTATATACTTTTTTATTTTCAATTTTTTATTATATTATCAGATTTTATTATATTATTAGCTTTATTATATTATTATTATTATTATTTTATTTTATTATATTATCAGTTTTATATTTTTATTATAGTTTTCATTATATTATCAATTTTATTATATCAGTACGTATATATGTGTTTTTTAAATATTTTTATTATACTTATCAGTTTTTATTATATTTTTTATTTATTAATTTAGGTTTCACTAAACAAATAATATGTACATATGGAGAAAGAGAGAGAAAGAGGAGAGAGAAACGAAATGGGTATTGGGGGTATATGCACATATAGGTGATGGGTAAAATGCAAATCAATTGGGTAAAATAGGGTTTTCAAATTTATTTTTTTGTCAAAAAGTGGTCAGAAGGGCTTATTTGCACCTTTTTTGAATTTTATGGACTAGTATGCATATTTTCAAAAGTAAGTACTAGTTTTGCACAAACTCTATATATCGGGGTTTCTTTTTGCACTTAACCCTTTTATTATTAGGTAACGTGTGAAGCAAAAAAAATTAAAAAAAACTGCTATATACAAAAATGTCCAAATATTCTTTGTTGTTCAAAACTAAAATTACTTTTTTTAATTAGTCAATTTGTGTAAATAAAAATAGAGTAGTGATATTCACATCAAATACTTGCAGTGAATTGTCTAACTGAATAATTTTTAATTAGTTATTTTATTTATTGCATAATTGACTAATTAAAAGAGTAGGTCTAGCAATTCACTATAACTATTCGTTACAAGAATTATTTTTCATAAAAATAAATATATAAATAATAATGATTTTAAATTTTAAATTTAAAACAATAAAAAAATAAGGCATTTTAATTAAAACCCCATATTTTATTTATTTTTATTTTTATTTTTTCAAAAAAAAAAAAGAAAAATATCTAAAATTCCCTTAAGAGTATTTTGGGGTTCTAGAAAAAATTTAGTCAAAATTGTTGATCAGGGCTAATTTGCATAAATTTTCAAAATACAGGGTATATGCACTTTTTTTTTATATAAAAATAGGGTATATTATTTCAAGAACTAACTTGTTTATGTGTATGGACTGGACTAAAATTATTTACATTATGTCGGACTAAAAACTTATATACATTAATAGAGGTTAGGGTTTGATAGTAACCAGCTTTATTAAAAGAATTCTTCCTTTCCTTAAACGAATTCCTACTATCACAAGGAAAATTAGGCCTTAGATCATCCTTTAAGGCTTTGTTTGGATACACATGAGAGAAAAGAAAGAAAATGATTATAAGAGAAAAGAAATGATAGTTATAATTTATATTCATGTTTAGGTAGATAAGAGAGTAAATAAAGGAATTGACAATATTGTTGTTTGGATAACACAAAGAAGAGAAAAGAAGAGAAAGGATAATAATGAAATTACCATCTTACCCTTTTTCTTGCAATATTGGTTGAAACTAGCTTTCTTCCAAAGTGCTCTCTATAGGAACCGAACTAGCTTTCTCCATGTCATAAAAAAGTTCTATAGCTTCTTTTGGTTGATTGTTTTGTGAATACCCTGCAATCATTGCATTCCAAGGCACCACATTTCTATAAGACATTTCATCAAAATACTTCCTTGCCAAATCTAACTCCCTATTTTTGGCATAACCATTGATCATGCTAGTCCATGAGAAAACATCCCTCGTTTTCATCTTGTCAAAAATCGCTTTTGCAGTGATCAAGCAACCACATTTTACATACATATCCAACAAGGCATTCATCAAATTTAGACTACAATTCAAATTATTATTTTCTACATACTCGTGAACAAATTTCCCCAAACTTAAGTCTCCACTTTGAGAGCAAGCCGAAAGCACTGTATCATAGTAACTTCATTAGGTTCAACACTACTTGACGGCATCGAGTCAAAGAGCCTCAAAGCCTCATGTGGCATATTCTTCTGCGCGTACCCGTCAATCATTGTGGTCCAAGAAACAACATCCCTCTCAGTAATTTCATCAAACAACAAACGTGCATGATTCAAACACCCACGAGACTTGTATAAAAATGAATCAACCCATTTTGCACAAGCAGATCAGAAACAAAACCCACCTTCCAAATTCGACAATGGACTGATTCGCTCACTTTGAATCCACAAAATGCTTTGAGCGCAAAGATGAAGGTTCGACTGTCCATTTCAACATATTCTCGAACCATTCTGCGAAAACAAAAGAAACCCATCTCAGGAAATTGAGCTTTACAGTAATCCCTGATCATTGTATTCCATATATAAACATTGGGTTCTGGAATTTGGTTGAAGAGCAGTTGAGCGTGATCTATGTTGCCAATGTCGGAGAGTGCACAGAAAGATATATATCACTGGGCTTAGAGAAAAGAGGTGAAAAATGAGGCCAGTTCGAGTCATGTGTGCTTGAATTTGCTTTAATTCGAACATGGAATTGCACGACTCCATGATTAACAGAGTTGGGTTGGTGATCATGAAACTGCTCTGTGAGTTCCATTTTGGTTTTTGGAAGGCTAATTTTGTCTCTTTTTTCAATTGTTTCTTTTCCCTCAAATCTTCTCAAAATTGAGGGGATTTGATTTTACTGTATTGGAGGGTTTTGGAGGGATAGCCTATCCCTCCAAATCCTTCCCAATCTTTTCTTTTCTCTTTTATTCCCTCCATCCAAACACACTTATTACTATTATTCCCTTTCTTTTCTCTCCAAATCCCTCTAAATCCCTCAATCCAAACAAGGCCTAAAAGATTTGAAATTAGATTAGGGTTTTAATTTTTCGGATGCTTCATCAGAGTAGTAGTTTTAATACATACAAAGTTAATAAGGTTAGTAAAAATTTAGAGAATTTGTGGAAAAGCGAGGAGATGTTTTGGAAACAAAAGTCCAGGGTTCAATGGCTTAAAGAAGGTGATAAAAATTCAAAGTTTTTTCATTCTAAAACGTAGCAGAGAAGGAAGAGGAATCTTTTTTCTGGAATTGAAAATTCTGAAGGAGTTTGGTGTGAGGATGATCGCTAGATTTGTCATATCATTTTGACTCATTTCCAAGATTTGTATAAATTAGAGCAAAATTATGATTTCAATAATTTCCTTCATGCTACCACTCAGCTTATTTCAAAGGAGGACAATAGGAATGTGATGAGATTAGGTATAGAGGAGGAGTTAAAGGATGGTTTGTTTGCTATGGATTCATTGAAGGCTCCAGCACCTGATGGCTTCTCTCTTTTATTTTTCCAACGGTATTGGGGTTTGGTTAAGGATGATATTTTGAGAGCTTTTAATGATTTTCTAATCTCGGGGAGTTTACTTAAATGTTTGAATTATACTAACCTCGTTCTTATCCCTAAAGTGAAAAGTCCAACCAAAGTGTTACAATTTAGACCTATTGCGTTATGCAATGTGGTTTATAAAATATTTTCCAAAACGTTGGCAAATAGATTAAAACCTTTGCTTGAGAAGATCATTGATGCTCACCAATGTGCTTTTGTGCCATATCAACTTATTTTTTATAGCATTTTAGTGGCTTATGAGATTGTACATTTTTTGAAAAATAAAAAGGGGGGAGAGGATAGGTTTGTTGCCTTGAAATTAGACATTAGTAAAGCATATGATAGGGTTGAGTGGAATTATTTGTTAGTAGTTATCGAGAGAATGGGCTTTGCAAAGGAATGGGTGCAGTTGATTAAAACTTGTTTGGCTTCTGTCAGTTACTCAGTGTTGTTGAATGACAGTCCCTACGGGATGATTATCCCTTCTTGAGGTTTGAGACAAGGAGATCCTTTATCCCCTTATCTTTTTCTCTTGTGTGCCTAAGGTCTCTCTAATATTCTGCATGCTGAATTATCACAAGGTTCCCTTTCTGGAGTTCAAATTTGTCATAGAGCTCCCAGAATCTCCCACATTTTTTTTTGTAGACGATTGTCTCTTTTTTTGCAAGGCCGAGAATGAAAAAGTTCAACGATTGACAGAGATATTAAAGGAGTATGAATTGGCATCCGGACAAGCTATTAATATGGATAAATCAACATTATTTTTCAGTAAGAACACTCCTTTTTCCGATAGAGATTATATCCACACAATTCTTGGGTCTCTTGAGAAGGTATGAATGAAAAATATTTAGGTCTTCCATCAGTTGTGGGAAGATCTAAATCTGAAGTTTTTGCCTACATTGAAAGAAAGATTTCTTCTAAAGTTAAAGGGTGGCAAGGAGAATTTTTATCGACTGGAGGGAAGGAAACAATGGTGAAAAGTGTACTTCAGGCTATTCCAGCTTATACGACGTCATGCTTCAAGGTGTCTCACAAAATATGTAATACACTGAAGAGGAATATTTTCCAGTTTTGGTGGAGTGGCAATCTGGAGAAATAAAAGATTCATTGGGCTAGCTGTAAGAAATTGACAGAGAATAAAACAGATGGGGGGTTGGGATTTAAAGACATGGAAGCTTTCAATACAGCTTTGTTAGCAAAACAAGCATGGAGTCTGCAAGTGGAACAGAGAGGTTTGTTTTTTCAAATTTATAAAAATAAATATTTCCCTTATTGTGATTTTCTCAGAGCTAAAAAATGTTCAAATTCTTCATGGGCCTGGCAAAGTTTTCTCTCAACAAGAAAAGTGATTGAGAATGGGCTGGTATG